AGCTGCAGAAGCGGCCGGAGGAGCCGCAGATGCAGTTTTTGGACCAGAAGTGAAGAGACCGCAGATGCGGTCATGCAGCCGCAGAAGCGGGACCGCACCTGCGGTGGTCGAGGCGCAGAAGCGGAAAAGGGGGCCTGAAGAGAAACCGCAGCAGCGGTAGAAAGGCCGCACCTGCGGAACCGTAGAAGCGGTCAAGGGACCGCAAGTGCGGAAGTGCTGGAGGCAGTGAGGTTCTTTTAAATCGGGGGTTGGGTTCATTCCAACCCCATTTCTTCCATTGTAGCCGATTTTTGGAGCAACTTTGAGGTGTCATCTTCACCGCCAAGCATGAGGTAAGTAATTTATGCTAGTTTTAAGTTAAATACATGATTATATACGGGTTTGGACATGGAAAATTAGTATAAATTTGGGATTTTTGGGGAAGACCTAGAATTTTGAATTTTGGAATTTTACCTTGAATTTGAGCATGAAAATTAGAGCAAATTATATATTTGAGTTAGTAAAGCTATGGGTAGAATTTATCTTCGAGAAATTTCGAAATCCGGACACGTGGGCCCGAGGGCATTTTGGTCAACTTTTCGAGCGGAGTTGGGAACTTATATAATTTGAATTGTTACAAGTATTAGAGTGAATTTTTATTGGTTTGCCCGTTGTTTGAATAGTTTTGGGGCGTTGTGCATCAATTGGAGTCGTTGGAAGGACCGGTCATGGAAATTTCGGAGCGAGGTGAGTCTCCTTTCTAACCTTGTAAGAGGGAATAGTCTCCATAGGTGAGTTAATTGGTTATGTGCTCCTATTTGCGAGGGCTACGTACGCACAAGGTGACGAGAGTCCGTGCGTAGCTACTATTATGCTTTAGTCCGGATAGTTTAGGGCCCAAAAGCATGCTTTCTTGTAATACTTGCAACCTTGTTGACAAACTTAAAATGCTTAAAACATGTCGAACGTGTAAATGAATTTCTAAAAAAGGCTAGATATCATTTCTTGACTTTTAAAAGAGAAACTTGCCTTTTCCTGAATATTTGCTCCTTGATGAATTATTGATTTGATTGTTTGAATGTGTTTATCTATTGTGGAACGGGCCGAACACCTCGGTAGATTAAATAGATGCATCCATGGTTCGCGCCATTCGACCCTCTAGCAGTGCACAGTTTAAATATTGTTGGATCGGGCCGTACGTCCTCGGCATGATTTGCGCATGCTTGTATTGCTTGCCTTGGAATTTATTGAAGTGATGTTGTTCCTTCCCGGCTTGAGAATAAATGTAGAAATGACGAAAAGGAATTTGGAAATTTCCTATAAAAGAAAGAATTATTTACTTGCTTTATTCTATTGAATTACAATCATGTTTATAAAAATCCATGATTTAATATATTATTGATATAACATTATTGGACCACTAGTAAGTGACGAAGTCGATCTCTCGTCTCTACTTCTTCGAGACGAGAGATCCGAGGGCATTTTGGTCAACTTGCTTTATTCTATTGAATTACAATCATGTTTATAAAAATCCATGATTTAATATATTATTGATATAACATTATTGGACCACTAGTAAGTGACGAAGTCGATCTCTCGTCTCTACTTCTTCGAGACGAGAGATCCGAGGGCATTTTGGTCAACTTGAGTTTGTAAAGCTATAGGTTGAATTTATAACATTGAGTTTGTAAAGCTATAGGCTGAATTTATCTTCGAGAAATTTCGAAATCCGGGCACGTGGACCCGAGGGCATTTTGGTCAACTTTTCGAGCGGAGTTGCGGACTTATATAATTTGAATCGTTACAAGTATTAGGGTGATTTTTTATTTGTTTGCCCGTTGTTTGAACAGTTTTGGGGCGTTGTGCATCAATTGGAGTTGTTGGAAGGGCTTGGAAGCCGGTTATGGAAATTTCAGAGCGAGGTGAGTCTCCTTTCTAACCTTGTAAGAGGGAATTGTCCCCATAGGTGAGTTAATTGGTTATGTGCTCCTATTTGCGGGGGCTACGTACGCACGAGGTGATGAGAGTCCGTGCGTAGCTACTATTATGCTTTAGTCCGCGTAGTTTAGGGCCCAAAAGCATGCTTTCTTGTAATACTTGCAACCTTGTTGACAAACTTAAAATGCTTAAAACATATCGAATGTGTAAATGAATTTCTAAAAAAGGCTAGATATCATTTCTTGAGTTTTAAAAGAGAAACTTGCCTTTTCCTGAATATTTGCTCCTTGATGAATTATTGATTTGATTGTTTGAATGTGTTTATCTATTGTGGAACGGGCCTAACGCCTCGTTAGATTAAATAGATGCATCTATGGTTCGCGCCATTCGACCCTCTAGCAGTGCACAATTTAAATATTGTTGGATTGGGTCATACGTCCTCGGCATGATTTGCGCATGCTTGTATTGCTTGCCTTGGAATTTATTGAAGTGATGTTGTTCCTTCCCGGCTTGAGAATAAATGTATAAATGACGAAAAGGAATTTGGAAATTTCCTATAAAAGAAAGAATTATTTACTTGCTTCATTCTATTGAATTACAATCATGTTTATAAAAATCCACGATTTAATATATTATTGATATAACACTATTGGACCACTAGTAAGTGTCGAAGTCGACCTCTCGTCTCTACTTCTTCGAGATTAGACGGGATATTTACTGAGTACACGTTGTTTCCGTACTCATACTACACTTGCTGTGCATTTTTGTTGCACAGGTTCATGTGTGACTAGTGGCTTAGTGGCATAGCGGCATGGTTGATACGGAGACTTAGGTGAGCTGCACTTATCGAGACGACCCGCAGCCAGCAGAGTCTCCTTCAGAGTATTGTACTGTATTTTTATTTCTGTCCACTTTGAATGGCGGACAGTTACTATATTTTATTTCATTCCCTAGTAAATGCTTATGAACTTGTGACACCGGGTTCTGGGATGTCTATGGGTTTATTCAGAAATTTAAAATTGTTAAATGTTTCATTATTTATTCAGTGGAATTTATTATATATTGTTTAAACGTATAAAAGAAGTGATTTCAGAAATATATATATATATATATATATATATATTAAATTTTCTTGGCTTTTTTTCGTATGTTTACTTTTTATATTTTTATTTTCCATAATAAAAATTCTAACACTATCACTGAATTAAACGTACAAGATTTCTTATACAAAAGAGGTTGATCATTATTATGTCAGGCCACTATCAGAGGTTGGCAGATATGAGTAGTCCTTCACCTGCTTGGCAGCAATTTGAACTGTGATTGCTTGCAGGAACGGAGGGAAAGTAGAACCTACAAGTTTGATAATTTTGATCCAAGCTATATATTTATCTTAAAACAATTTTGAATATGTAAAAAAGATATTAATTTAGAACTCAGTAACTTAAAAGATTTAGAATTCCGAACTCATAGATATCAAATTCCAACTCCGCCTCTGATTGTTTGTAAGTTGATCTCAGGAGCAGCTCTAGCACAGAAAGTTCGGGTTCGATAGAACTCAGCGAATTTGATTCAAAGCTTATATATTTATTAATAAATCCACTAAATACGTATATATACAATAAATTTCAGAACCAATAAACTTTAAATTCAAAACCCATAAAATTTTAAATCCTAAATCCAGCTCTGGTTGAGTTTTTTTATCTGTCCATTCAGCTCCTAATTAATAGTAAAACCGCATACTCTAACTAGTGGTCTAGTTTTGATAGCCGAATGTTGGTTATTAGCAGCCTTAAAGAAACACAAATACTTTTCCACTACCGGTTCAAATATAATTGGTTGTTAACAACTTTGCCTAATTAGTAATTACTATACGTATTTGCATGGGCATTTGAAAATTAATTAAGCTACGTACGTGTAAAACGTTTAAGAGCAGTCCGTACTAAGAACACTGACAATGCTTGAGATTTTGTGGTGGAAGTTTGTTTTGACTTATCATGCGTAGGCCCACGAATTCCACATTTTGAATCATAGACAACTCGTGCTAGCAGATTAGCTATAAGTTTACTAGGTTATTACTCTCTCCGTCTCAATTTATTACTTATAGTTACTATTTTGGGAGTCAACTAGTTGTACTCTTTGACTATATTTTTCATATATATTATAATTATTTTAAAATATAAATTATTATGACTTATAGTATTTTTGAGTATAAAAATTTTATTTTGAATTTTTTTAAAAATCTATATCTAATTTATGGTCAAAGTTAAAAAAAAAAAGGACCCTCGAGATTCGAACCATGAATAACAAATTGAGACGGAGGGAGTAATTAATATTGATCATATAATTTTAACCTGTAAATATCATACAAGTAATCAAATCGTCAAGCGCGGATATAATAAATAAGGTATGGGTTCATCTTAACCTACTAACTTTCTTTAAACCCTTGTATGTATTTTTTTTAAAAAACTACTAAAGAGGAACAAATAATAGATTTCGAATCCAGTAAATTAGAGGGATATGGTGAATCTAATTATGAATCCTTAAAGTTCAAATCTTGTATCTGCTTGTGGTAATAGTGTATATATTTTGTATCTGCTTGTGGTAATAGTGTATATATTTTTTACACGTTTTTGTTGCATAGAACTATAACTTAGAAGGGCATTCCGGTGCACAAAACATCTCCCATTCGTACACAGTCCAAGGAACGGCCGCACCGCAAGGGGTGTGATATAGGCAGCCTAGCTACCCTGATGCAAGCATCAATAGTTGAATCCACTGCTCGAAGCCGTAACCTATAGGTCATACGGAGATAACTTTACCGTTGCTCCAAGGCCCCCTTCTACGTAAAACTTGTATCAGTGGCTGATTCCACTGCTCAAACCCTTAACCTAGGTCATACGAAGATAACTTTACCGTTGCTCGAAAGTCCCCGTCTACGCATAACTGATCAAACTATTTTCATAAAAAGAAAAGAAGCTATCATTTCTCTATAAATAGAACTAGAGCCCTTGCATACTCCAACATAAGTATCATCTCCAGGAAAATCAAGACATAATCTGTTAGCTTTTCTCTTTGCCATTCTCATGGATTCCTCATCAGTCTCCTCCATTGAATCTCTAGTCAATGAGATCAAGAAAGATATGTTCTCAAACCAAGAATTTAACACTTTTGTTACCCCAATATCTGCCTATGACACTGCTTGGTTGGCCATGATTTCTTATAATAATCAAGAAAAAGCCACTAATGATCATTCTTTTTCTGGCCCTATGTTTGAGAGTTGTTTAAATTGGATTCTCAACAACCAAAATGAGCAAGGATTTTGGGGAGAATCCAATGGTGAAAATCTTCCTACCATTTATGCTCTCCCTACTACTCTTGCTTGTATGATAGCACTCAAGAAATGGAATGTGGGTGAAACCAACATCAAAAAAGGTAAACCAAACTATGAAATTACTATTATTGTTACATGTATCTATATCTATGTTGCTCGGATTCTCAAAAATATCGTCGGACCTGTGTTATATTCTCAAAAATGCATAACTGTTGAAGGGTCCAACATAAACCAGGCGACATTTTTGGAAGACCAAACAACATGGACCTAGATTAATTATATGGGTTTCTTGTCCTACTTTTTTAATTAGCCATCTACTCTAATTTTTAATCGACATGCAAAAGAGAAAATCATATTATCACCTCGACCTTTTGAATGAAAAGTGTTAGAAATATGACTGTTTCGTCTAAAAGTTTAAGCTCTAGAGCTTCGTTTTGGAGATGAGTGGCGGAGAGCTTTGAACACATGACTTTTGTTTGCTCTGTCACTATGTTGAAATGTGTAATCATCGTATTATCTTAAATACTAAACTGTTAGAGAAAGTATATTTTTACGTTATTATATCTTCAACACCAAATTAAAGTCATGTTAGAGAAAGTACATTTTTACGTTATTACATGAAATCAAAATAAGTTAAGTTTATGTTTTCCAACTAATTAAGATAGAATTTATTATTATTTAAAATATTTGTTGAAAAGATTACTTTCATGTTGTGATTTTTCAGGTTTGAAATTTATTCATGCTAATACGGAAATACTTCTGAAAGAGAATTCTCAACAATTTCCACGTTGGTTTACCATTGTTTTCCCTGCAATGGTTCAACTTGCTAAATCAGTAGGCCTGGAGATTATTTTTGTGAATGGATCAGAAAGATTACTTTCTGACGTGGTCATGAAGAGGAAAGTAATTCTTGAAAGGTGAGTAATTAAATTTTCTAGAGTAACTCAAGGGAGGAGCTAGAAGCCCGAGTAGGCGAGTACTGGTTACGTCGAACCCATTAGCTTTTATTCAAACAATATATTTGTAATTAAAATTCGTTAGATATGTACAAATATTAAATTTAAAATCTGATTATTAGTACTTGAAATTATCGTTTTAAAATTCAGAACTCATAGAAGCCCGTCATTTAACATGACGTACGATAAAGAAAGATGTGTCTCTCCTAAACAAGATAGTAAAAGGACGAACAGGATATTAAATTTTGCTTTTTTTGTTCTATAGTTATTTGATGTGACATGAGCATGTAGGGGGTTCAAGAATTAATCCATCATCTTTTATTAAAGAACTAAAATCACTTGTTTTGGTTTTTCATATCATATTGCATGGAGGATCTCGAAAGATATGAGAAATCTCACTAAGTTAAAATTTATGATCTGTACACTGACCGTTTAAAAAATATTTACATCAGACACTTAATTAAGATTTAAGTTATATATACTGATAATTGTTTTTTTTTCCAGTGAAAAGCTAATGGATGTGACAGCAGGGCATGATCAACCTCTTTTGGCATATCTAGAGAGCTTGCCAAATTATTTTGTGGATCAAAAAGACCAAATCCTAAAACATTTAAGTGAAGATGGTTCTTTGTTTCAATCTCCCTCTGCTACAGCACAAGCATTCATGTCCACAGGGAACCAAAAATGTCTTGAATATCTCATGTCCATTGTTCACAAGTGTCCAAATGGAGGTTTGTCAAATATTTTCCTAAAATATCAACTTTGTTATATTATTTAAAAGATTGTAAGTACTAGTATGAGCCAAGGATTTACCGTACACAGCTTCTATACCTGCACAAGGTAGGCAGAGGCGGACCTATGGCTTAGGTCGAGGGGTCACCGGAACCCGTAAACTCCAACGGAAATCTTGTACATATATATATGTGTATACCTTGAAAATGGTTAATTTAATTCACTTGGCACCCTTAACACTAAAAACCTTTAGGGGCCACTGATTGAACAGAATATTGTGCCTCCATTGTATTAAATTCCTAGGTCCGTCTCTGAATGTAGGGGTAAGGTATGCGTATAAACTGTCCTCCCCAGATTCCAGTTCTGGATATACTGGGTGTTTTATTGTTGTTGTTGTTGTTATTGTAAGTGCTAGTAATTTTTTTGATAATGCATGATAGAGTCTAGATTAGCTTGTGTCTATCTCAACTATTCAAACTGCTTACTTGTTTAACTCATATCAGCATCAAAAACAGATTTAGAATTTAAATTTGATAGACTCATATCAGCATCAAAAACGGATTTAGAATTTAAATTTGATAGATTCAACCTTCAAAATTTTTAATAATAAACACATTGGGTTCTAAATGTAATTGTCAATTATTAAAATATATATATATATATATATATATATATCATCTCAGAATTTTGAGCAAAATATAAGCTTCATTTGTCTCTAACCAGCACAAATACTAAGTAACTATATATACCTATCTAATTTTAAATAGATGAAAAATGAATCACCTAGCATTTTTTGTCTCTAAATTAAACCTAATCTTTTATGATTTTTTGTTCATTTTAATGACTATTAAAATAATTTTACTCTTTTTTGCAGTACCTTCAAGGTTTCCAGTGGATGAAGAGCTAATAAATCTTTGCATGATTGACCACATTCAGAGAATGGGATTGGCTAACCACTTTAACAAAGAGATTGAACAGATTCTTGGCCAAGTTTATAAGAATCAAATGAATAACCAGAATGAGTACTTATCAGAAATAAGTACTTTACCTGAGAGATTATACAAGGACTCTTTGGCTTTTCGACTTCTCCGTTTGCAAGGCTATAAAATAAATCAAGGTTTGTTTAGAAATTAAAAATATTATATGAATGTATTTGGTAGGACGAAAGTTATTTTTCAAAAAAATAATTTTCGTTAAAAAATCAATGTCTAGTATAGTTTCTTTATTATTATCTTTATTTTTAATTTCATGTTACGTTCTCTAACTAGTATTTAGATATTATATTATCTAATTTAGCACTCAAACATATATAAATTTTTCAAAATATATGTTTCATTCACCAACCAAAGACAAAGAAAAATATCTTTTTGAGAAAACATATTCCATGCAAGATTAATATTGTCCTACCAACACACTTTATTATGTGTGTAATTTTTCTTCTTCTCGAACCAATGCACTTTATTATCATGTGTGTACTATTTCTTCTGCAATAACTAGTGACCTATGAGGAGGGAGTTTAATTTGAGAGCAAAGATAAAGTTATTTTTGTGTAATTTATAGGCCACGGGTTCAAGTTGTGGAATCAGCTACTGATGCTTGCATCAGGATAAGCTATTTACATTACACCCCCTTGGGGTGCGTCCCTTCCCCGGACCCTGCGTAACCGCGGGATGCTTTGTGCACCGGGATGCCCTTTAATAACTAGTGACTTATAGGAAAGGAGCCTTGTAGCAGCGATAATGATGTCTCTGTGTAACCTATAGGTCACGGTTTCGAGCCGTGGAAACAGCCACTAAAACATTAGTGGCTGTCTGTCTATGTCACACCTCGCTGTGATGCGACCCTTCCCCGAACTCTGCGTGAACGCAGAATATCTTGTGCACCGGATTGTCCTTTTATTTATTTTTCTGCAATAACTAGTGAAATTTTAAGAAATTTTTTTTTTTCTTTTACCCCATGGCAGGAAGTTTTTGTTGGTTTGTTCATCAACCGCAGATAAGGGCCTACATAGAAAAGAATCAAGAACGTTTTACATATGTGATGTACAATGTGTACAGAGCTACAGATCTTATGTTCAATGGAGAATCTGAAATGGAGAAAGTACGATCTTTTGCCAGAAATTTTCTTGAAAGTTCAATGGAACTCGTGAGCAATGAGGACAACTTATTACTACTTCCTTCACTTCAAAAAGTGGTAACTATCAACTTTGTACCTTTTTTACTTTTGATGAGGAAAATATATAGCTTTAGGTTAAATGTTATGCAGGCTAGAAAACTTACTGAGTTTAAGATGATACCTTATTTATTAGCCCGAAATTAGAAATGGAACTAGGGTTTTAGCTATTGGTTCGGTACAATTTAATAGCTTTGACCAAAACTATATATTAGTATTAAAATTATCCAGAATTTAGTAAGTTATTTTTTAAACTTAAACTTCTAAATTCGCCTCAATCCGAAATATTGAAACTATTACCAATGTATAGTTAGGTGCTATTTGTACATTATGCCTCTTTACAATTTAAGAAAATAATATTTTTAGATCTCTTATGTGTAAAAAGTAATTCTTTACGTGTAAAAATAAATCTATCATATGTATAAAAAAAAAAAAAAGAGGTAGAATCGTAAAACTAAAAATAATGTCTAAAGAGCTACAAAACAAATTCACCCGTGATTTACCGTATAAAAAGGACAATGAATTGGGTCCACAAGTTCCCAATGTAAGTCCTGTCAATTAACACGTGATTTTTATGAAAAACGTCTTCGTACTATATACATAAAAGTAGAAAGTATTAATGAGTCATTCATCCATTTATTTTTTGTTATTCCTTCCGGTTCACAGTTTAATTTGCTTTTAGCACGCCCATTAAGAAAATATTAAATTTTATATAAAAATACCTACTATGACTAAACTACCCCTATTAAACATTTAATGTGAGGAGTAAGAAAACTTTTTAGGGATATGTACATAGGGAATATTTTGTAAAAACAAATTGAATTCTTTCTTGATTACATAACTGGACACTTATTTTGAACCAAAATGAAAAAGCAAATTGGACACTTATTGTGAAACGGATGGAGTATTAGTTATAAGTTGTGCTCCCAAAAGCCAATACAAAGGAAACTAAACCTAACTACATGCTATTACTAGTATTAATAATTATAAGTTGTGCTCCCAAAAACCAATACAAAGGAAACTAAACCTAACTACGTGCTATTACTAGGGAAACTAAACCTAACTACGTGCTATTACTAGTATTATTCCCTCCGGTACAAAATAAGTGATTTTTTGGTCTTTTTCTTGTGGTCCAAAATAAGTGATTTTTCCAGATTTCAAGAATGAATTAATTATTTTTTTCTTACATTGTCCTTGGAGTAAATAGTGTTGGAATATGTGTTAAGACTGTTTATGTGAGATAGTAAAGGTTAATATGGTCAATTCCATTGCTAATTAATGCTAAAAGGTAAATTTCTTAATCTGTGTGAAAACATATAAAAAAACACTTATTTTGGACCGGAGGAAGTAATAATTATAAGTTCTGCTCCCAAAAACCAATACAAAAGGAAACTAAACCTAACTACGTAATATTTTCTTTCAAATAATGACAAAAATGTGGATTTAAATTATTGAACTGAACAACAAGACGTGCCAATACATAATATTTTCTTTCTATCAATTAAATAGATAATTGTTTGTTTAATTTTATATGACATGCTAATTTTGTTATTCTTTTTATATAAAAGATTGAGCATGAGTTGAATGTTCCATGGGTTGCTCGACTAGAACATCTTGATCACAGATTGTGGATTGAATTAAGCCAATCTCTCCCTCTTTCAATTGGAAAATCTGCAGATTATTGGTACGTATATTCTATTTCATATGCTTTCACAATTATATTGGTTACAAATATCATATATTATGGTCAATATATCAACATCAAATTTAAATGTGACAATTTTTTCCTTAATGTAACTCATTAGGTTGTCTTGTCTGCACAATGACAAATTGGTGAAACTAGCAGTGCAAAATTACGAATATCGACAGTCAGTTTACAGGACAGAATTGGAAGAACTCAAGAGGTACAAACAGAATTTTTACCATATTACCATATAAGATATTTAACTGTTACGTCACTTAAAAGATAATTAAATTAATTATCTTAATATGTGACATTAGTAACTTGAAAAAATAAGATAGATTACAAAAGTAGAAAGTTAAAAGCATAGATAGCGTAAAAAAATTTCAGTATTCATGTATATGAACTAAAACTATATTATGGGCCTGTTTGTCCATAGATTTTGTTTCAGAATAAAAAAACGTGCTTGTCCATTAAATTTTGTAAGTCTTTGGAGATTTTTCGGGAAAACTTCTTTCCCTACTCACAAAACTGCAATATTTTTTTTCAAGTGAAATGCATGTCGAGGCATAATTTCAAATTCCAAATACTATTTTTCTACTCTTCATACTACTTTTTTTTTAATTATAATTTTTATGTCCCCACTATATTACATTAATATGGTCATTACATAAGGTTAATAATTAATTTTTTTGGATAATTTATAGGTGGTCGAAAGAGAAAGACCTCGTGGACATTGGATTTGGGCGAGAGAAAACTACATATTCCTATTTTGCAAGTGCAGCTAGCAGCAGCAGTTTTCTACCTTTTGATTCTTTTCTTCGATTGGTTGTTGCAAAATGTTCCATAGTTATTACAGTTGCTGATGATTTTTATGATGAGGAAGCCTCTTTAAATGACTTGAAAATCTTAACCGACGCTGTACAGAGGTAATTACAGATAAATCTCTGTGATAATTGTTAATTCGTAACCTAGTAAAATAGTAACTAAACTGTTATCATATACTTATGTTTCACTAATTGCGTAAAAAAAATATTTACATAGGTGGGATGGAAGTAACCTTGATGGCCCTAGTAAGATCATATTTGATGCACTCGATGATCTTGTGTGCGATGTTGCTAAGTTGTACCACCTTCGACACGCAATCGACATCACTTCAGAACTTCGACGTCAGGTAAGTTAATGTCGAAATCGAACACATAAAGTTTAAATTCTAAATCGGCTGACTTTTATGTTGCGAATAAGAGTTGTTGTTTTAACAGTGGCAGGAGACATTTCTTGCATGGATGATGGAAAGCACGTGGAGTAACAATGTAGCCATGCCATCTAGGAATGAATACCTAGAAATTGGCATGATATCAATTGGTGCACATATTTTGGTTCTTCATGCTGCTTCTCTTGAAAATCCAAGTTTGCCAAGGGAAAAACTTAAGCCAATTGATGGCCAATATGAAAATATTACAAAGTTGCTTATGGTCACCACTCGTTTGTTGAATGATATCCAGAGCTATCAAGTAAGTTCTATCTCAGCTCACAATAATTTATTATAGTTATTTCATTTTATACCATAGGAACTTAGGCCGTGGCGCACAGGGGCGGAGCTACAGCTTCGACAACGGGTTCGACTGAACCCAGTAGCTTTAGTCAAAACCCTATATTTGTCTTAAGAAATTTATTGAATAGATACAAATTCTTACTTTGGAACCCTGTAACACAAAAAAGTTAGAATCCCGAACCCAGTAACTTCAAATCTGACTCCGCCTCCGGTGGCACATATGATTTTAGGAAAGTGATGTCGGCTTATTATCACAATTCAATCAGCACATAAATACAAAATTGAGATAGGAACTTAGGCAGTGGCAGCATATGGTTTTAGAAAAGTGGTGCCGGCTTATTTGTCACAACTGTGACCAGGAGGTCACGGGTTCAAGCCGTAAAAATAGCCTCTTGTAGAAGTGCAGGGTAAGGCTGCATATAATAGACCCTTGTGGTCCGGCCCTTCCTCGGACTCCGCATATAGGAGGAGCTTAGTGCACCGAGCTGTTCTTTATAATAAACAATAAAGAATCAATATGAAATATGAGTATTAACTTTTGTAAGTGCATGATTTATTCATATGCAGAAAGAATGTGAAGTAGGGAAAATGAACTACACATTACTTCACATGAATGAAAATCCAGGGGCACAACTTGATGATTCAATTGAATATGTGAAAGAGATTTTGGCCAACAAGAAGAAAGAATTTCTTGAAAATGTTCTAATGGATGGATTCAATGATATGCCAAAGACATGCAAACTACTTCATCTTTCTTGCCTAAATGTGTTTCACATGTTCTTCAATTCTTGCAATTTATTTGATACCAAAGCAGCAATTCTTGAAGATATAATGAGAGCTATTTACATTCCTCTTCAAGAACAAACCTCAATTCCATCATTAAAAACTTCTCCAATTTTAACACCTCAAGAAAAGAAGAAGAAGAAGGAGAAGAAGATTGAGAATATTCCAACTAAAGTTTCTGCTTGTCTCAATGGGAAAAACTTCAAACATCAAGTTGGCATTGGAATAAGTTTTGTTGGAAGTAAAGCTCCTAAGAATCATCCTTTTGGTTGGAATACAAAAGGATTTGCTTCACAAAAGTTAAGTTCATGTTTCATATGATTCCTTAGTAATTATTCTTTACTTATATTACTATTATTATTCTTGTATGGTACTATGTAATATTGTAGTTAAAATAAAAGAGACTTGGAGAGTCCCTCATTGAAAGTGTGATTGTAAAAGCAACTCTTTTAAGATTGTATTAATGATACTATATTTCAAGATTCTTTTTATGTTGTTCTTTAGATTCATTCCTATTCAAATTTCTAACAGTTATTGAGGAAGTTAATTTCTTAGTCGTTTGTGAAACGACCAAGAAAAAAAAAAAAAAGACAGCCCGGTGTACAAGGTATTTCGTATTCACGCAGGGTCCAGGGAAGGGCCGCACCCTAAGGGGTGTGATGTAGACAGCCTACCCTAATGCAAACATTAGTGACTGCTTCCTCGGCTCGAACTCGACTTGCAAGTTGATTACAATATATAGCAATTGTTGGCTTAAATTTAATTATAACTTGAGTAATTAAGTTGGCCTGCAACGTAATTGCAACTTGTAGTAAGTTAATATGCAAATTGAGTAGGTTCTACTTGATTACAATATGGAGAAAATGACTAGTTACTAATTGGTTATAACCACAGCAGAATTTTATTGAGCTCGCAGCTTAACTTTTTCTATCAAAGTTTAGAACACAAGAAATGTTTAGGGGATATATATTAATCCCATATGAGAATAGTTAGGTAACTTACAAACGCAATATCAATATTATTATTTTGCTTAAAGGAAAGTACTATTTAGCTCAGTTTGAAACAAAGCCCAAAGCTCGGTCCATGAGGAGAAGTCCAAGACCTTTAATTTGGGTGAAATTCAAAAATAGCCAGATTTATAAGTGGTAATTGGAAAATAGTAACAATTTTAAAAGTAATTAAAATTTAATCACTTTTCATACAAAGATAAATCTGAACGAAAACACTGTTCAAAATCCGAAAAATATTCCAGCATAATATACTGGAGTTCGAATTTTATACATGTGAACTTCCAGCATAATATACTGGAGTTCCAGTATAATATACTGGTCCAGCATAATATGCTGGAAGTAGGGGTGTTCATGTTTCGGTTTGGATCGGTAAAAGAAACCAAACCAAGTAAGTCGGTCTTTCAAATATTAGAAAACCAATTAAGTCGGTTTTTTCTCGATTCGGTTTATGTCAGGTTTTGTCGGTTTTTCGGTTTTTTCGGTTATTTGTCGGTTTTTTCTTAAATATAAGACATACACTACCAAACACATATTCCGGCCACCATATTTTCAACGTAACACTATCAAATTAATTGCCTTTTGAGAAATCTACTATTTACCAAGATATATTGATGATAATTGAATCAAATAGTGATGAATAATTTAAGGACTCAATTAAAAATATATTATTTTTAACACGAAATAGATTCTTACACTTAACAAAAGAAAACTACCAATCAAACTAGAATGTAAAGGTAAAGAACTATGCTAAAAGTGCAAACTATTAACATTTACCATAGTCGGTTTGGTTCGATTTTTTTCGATTTTTTCTGATTAAAACCAAAACCAAACCAAATTTGATCGGTTTTTAAAATTCAAAACCAAAACCAAACCAAACCAAAAAGTATCGATTTTTTTGGTCGGTTTGGTTTGGTTTTCGGTTTGGTTCGGTATTTCGGGTTTTTATGAACACCCCTAGCTGGAAGTTCATACACAGGTGCCCCAATCTCCAGTATATTATGTTGGGGCTTTTAGTGTGCTGGAGTTCCAGCATAATATGCTGGAAATTCAAACACAGGTGCACCAATCTCCAGTATATTATGCTGGAACTTTCCAGTCCGAAAAACTAGCTAGCCCGTGCTATTTTCAATTCTAATTTTGAAACTCAAAAACTTGGGCCTTTAATCAAAGCCACAAATAATCACTTCAGCCTTTGTTTTAATAAATTAATAATTGGAGTTTGCTATTTATTATATTTGAAACTTATGTTTCAAATTTGAGTCTATTTGGAATAGATTTAGGCATGGAATGGTACGTTGGATCGTTGACATTCAAAGAATAAATTTTTACTTTTGGGAAAAAAATCAATTAAAAATCTAAACAGAAACGTCTTAAGTGCATGCAAAAAATTATTTGAACTTAAGTCTTAAGTGCAAATGTATTTTTTGCACCTGAGATGGAAACGCCGTAGGATGCATTGCAATCTATTTTTTGCATGCATTTAAGACGTTTTCGTCTTATTAAGGTGTATGCCTTTGAAATACAATAATCTATATTATATTAAAAGGAGAATAGTTTGCAATGTGATTAAGTCAAGTAGCGCTTTAAGAATAAAACGCATGGCAAATTAACACAAAATAAATAGTAATAATTTAGGAAAGACTTAAGATAAAGGTAAAAGGATAAGCATAAAATATAATGTATTAATTGTGTATCACATTCGAAGATTTTGGCAAATCTTTATTTTTTATTGGACAAATAAATGCCTAAAGCTATGGGATATTGTAAATCTTATTTAAATCACGTTTTACTACTTTGCTGCTTTAATTTTAGGAATTTAAAAGTGTATGCAAGAAATATATATTTGAAAGGGTAACTTTGAAAGAATTTTGTTTCTTCTTTTGAAGCCTACGGTATTTGCTTTTTACTAATTTGACTTTGAGTTTCTATAATATTGTTAACTTCTCGGAAAATAGAAAATTTATAAACCAAATTCTAAGAGAATATATATATATAATGAAAGTAGAGGACAAGATATGAATAATTTTATGTTATGAGTAATGCAATATGTATAAAAAATTAAAGAAAAAAATATGAAAATAAATAATTTCAATTAGAAATAGAAGGATAAAACTCAATTGATTTTGAGAAGATAAAGTATTTTAAATAATCTCTCTCTCTCTCTCTCTCTCTCTCTCTCTCTCTCTCTCTCTCTATATATATATATATATATATATACATATACATATACATATATCAAAGAAATAAAGTATGTATTGTGGTTAAGCCAAATGACAATCTACTAAAGCCACTTGAAAATTTGGGACAATATTTCTAAGTTTATTTAACTTAAATTAAAATATAAGATTTATTTTTGAATCGGAATAGAAAGAAAGTGAATATTTTTGTAAAGATATTGTCTGCCCTATCTTACTAAGTAAGATTTTTTTTTAAAGTTGAAAGATAAAAACAACACCTTTATCTTAATTAATTATAAAGATAAAGTATTATCGAAAATATGATGAATTTAACATTAATATGAACACTAGAATAAGAGTAAATAAAATATTTTATTACAAGAAAAAAACGATATTTATTTATAATGTTTATAATGGAATGAATAATTTTAAGTTATGGGTAGTTCAATATGGACAAGAAATTAAAAGATACAAATAATTAAAAGTATAGAGATATATGGAAGGATAAGACTTATTTGATTATTGAGATGAGAAAGTTTTAAATAATCTACATATATATGTCAACGGAATAAAGTTTGCATTGTGGTTAAGGCAAGTACCAACTTGCTATAAAGCCACTTGGTAATTTAGGATAATATTTATAATAATATTTAATTTATCTATCTATATCTGTATTATATTAAAAGGAGGATTAAGACAAATTAGATTTGATCAAATTTAACTTATGGTGGGAATCAATGACAGTACAATAATATTATTAAATAAATAATTCAATAATATTTAGCATTCTCTATTCTTCGTCTCCTTAACTTTTGAGCTTGATTGGGCACGGAGACGAAAAATAGGGGTGCCTTAGAGTTTAAGCTATGAGAGAAGACTTTTGAACTTGTGGTGTAAAATGAGGCACATATATTTTGTGTGGCTATAAATCATTGCATAAAAGTAAATTATTTCCAAATAAGGAAAGACGTCATTCTTTTTGGCACTGACTAAAAAGGAAATAGGTTCACATAAATTAAAACAGAGGGGTATTAGTATGAGACTTATTGGAATTTGAGATAAAAAATAAAGTAATAGTAAGAATTTAGCTAAAATAATAGTATAATTTAATATGCTCAAAGAAGACATATCACAGCTTGACATGTTCAGTATTTTTTAATATTGGCGCCGAAACAAAACGCAAGTACTAAAATCTAGGGGTTGGTTGTCACAAATATATATATATAAAAAAATAAGTTATCCACTACGAGATTTGAGAAATAATTTCATATTATGCTTTTTTATTATTAATATTTAATTAATAATTATATGAAATTTTTATCTGAAAGATTAATATTTTAAGATTATTTACACATACATCAAATAAGTTAAATTACAATTTGATATGGTTTGTGTCCGCGCATTGCGCGAGTACTAATACTAGTTGTTTCAAAAAGAATATATTAAAGAAAAAGGACTTTATTTAAAGAGAAAAAAGAAAAAGAACAAAATATTGGCCTATCCTTTTTGAGTCTTTTCATAAACCAAGCAAAGATTTCCTCCACACAAAGGGAAGATCAAGAACCCTATCTGCCTATAATGGAGGAAAAGCAAAACAACAAATCTCTTCAAACCCAACTCTATTACTGGGGAAATACTCCAACAGAACAAGATTACTATAATCTCCAAGGTATCAAATCTACTAAATCTTTTTTCACTTCACCAAGAAACCTAACCCTATTCACAAGATCATGGCTACCCTCTGCAAAAACCCCTCCACGTGGCATCATTTTTATGGTACATGGCTATGGAAATGACATCAGTTGGACATTTCAAGCAACCCCAATTCAGTTAGCCAAAAATGGTTTTGCCTGTTTTGCCCTTGATCTTGAAGGTCATGGCCAATCACAAGGTCTTAAAGCTTATGTACCTAATGTTGACTTTGTTATTGATGATTGTTTGTCTTTTTACAATTTTGTACTAACCCAAAATCCTGAATTTCAAGATTTGCCTAAATTCCTCTATGGTGAATCAATGGGTGGTGCAATTTGCCTTTTGATTCACTTAAAAAGTCCTAGTATGTTTAATGGTGCAATTTTGATAGCCCCCATGTGTAAAATTTCAGATAAAGTTAGACCAAGATGGCCAATTCCGCAATTCTTGACTATTCTTGCAAAATTTGCACCTACTTTGGCTATTGTACCAACAGCTGATTTATTGGACAAATCTGTAAAAGTCCCAGAAAAAAAGATTATTGGTGGGATGAATCCTAATAGGTATGTTGGAAAACCAAGATTAGGTACTGTACTTGAACTTTTACGTGTGACAGATTATGTTAGTAGCAAATTATGTGATGTGAATTTACCATTCTTGATTTTACATGGAAGTGCTGATGTTGTAACTGATCCAGAAGTGAGTAGAGAATTGTATCAGTTGGCTAAAAGCAAAGACAAGACACTGAAGATTTATGAGGGTATGATGCATTCTTTGTTGTTTGGAGAGACTGATGAAAATGTTGAGATTGTTCGTAGTGACATATTGGCTTGGTTGAATGATCGGTGCTGAGAAATCTGTACTTGAGTTCTATTCATAGCTAATTCATATTTGTCATATTTCTAGTTCATTAGTTTGTGACATACTTGTGGTTGATGCAAACTTTAGAAATATTTTGTCTAAGATTGATTTAGATTGGATTATCAGTATTTTTCAGATGGCAAAGCTTTCTATGGAGAGCAGATATAAAGATTGCATATTTGCTTATGAATGAATCTTGGATGAATCATATGCTCAGTGTGATCTTTTCCTATTTGTCTCGAATTACGCGAACCTACACATATTAGTACAGTATACCAGGATTCCCAGCCAGGGTCACACGTGCAAGTTTCGTTACATGTGGCTCGTCCGTGCTTTTCAGGGCGCTGGATTGTGACTCAGGATTGGAGAAGAGGGTGGAACTGCACACACTTCTGTGTTCTGAGCATTGTTCGAGTGACTTCCATATTAGTACGGGAACCTACACATTAGTACAGAATACCAGCATCCCCAGCCAGAGTCACACGTGCAAGTTTCGTTACATGTGGCTCGTCCGTGCTTTTCAGGGCGCTGGTTGTGACTCGGCATTGGAGAAGAGGGTGGAACTGCACACACTTTTGTGTTCTGAACATTGTTCGAGTGACTTCTATCTTTTTTAGCTGAGGATCTATCGGAAACAGCCTCTCTGTCCTTTCAGCCTCTCTGCCCTTACAGGGTAGGGGTAAGGTTGCGTACATTCAACCCTCCCCAGACCCCACTTGTGGGATTGGGTTGTTGTTGTTGTTGAGCATTGTTCTAGTGAGTAGACAGCACCTATAAAGCAAAGCTTTCTTAAAAAGGCAGGGCTGGTTCCTTGGTGGCAGAATTATCTAGTTCTGTTTCGACGGAATTATCAGGTACCCGCTGGTGGTATATAGCAGGTATCTGGGAGAAGCCCAAACACCACTATTAAAAAGAACATGTTTATGCTTAATGGTTCTGACTATTTTGAAGCAAAAGAGTTATGTGTACTTTCAATCTAATCCATATCTGTGGCTTGAGATTAAATACTACACTTACACTACAACTTCATAGAGTTGCAAATTAGAAAGTATTGAATTTCTGTTTTTCTTTTTGGGATGAGGAGAAGAGGGTAATATTCCCTTTATGTGCCCTAATTTTGTTACTTTTATGGCTGAAACATAATTTTGTGCACTTTGACAAAAAAGTTGATGTACAAATTTTGCAAAAGGTAAAGGTCCCACCGAGATTTGAACTCGGGTTACTGGATTCAGAGTCCAATGTCCTGACCACTAGACCATGGGACCATTTTTGTTTACCTATTTCGTGCTCAAGAATATGAAACACACTCACCCCACCTCAATCCACCCACCCCACCCCACCTCAATCCACCCACCCCAACCAAAACACAAAAACCAAAAAGGAAAACTATTTCCAAATTGCCCATTGCAATTACTCCCCATAGTTTTATCGTCCTTATAATGCATTTCTTATAAATATTTAAATGTCTAAAAGATTTACATGTTAGAGAAAGGGCAGTCCGCTACGCTGAGCTTCCGCTATGCGCAGGGCCCGGAGGAGGGTCGGACCACAAGGGTCTATTGTATGCAGCCTTACCCTGCAAATGTTAATTACTTTCTTACATTTTGTGGTTGGTCCACAGTTAAAAGAAGTATATAAAGTAGAGATTTGGATCGTTTAAGCGACCGTACCATGTTGGTATCTCATACTGTGATCTTCACCATCCTCCATTAGACATGGTGACGCATTGAATTCTTAAAAGGGAAAAATTTGTGCCCAAAGCAAACACCATCATACACCTACTAATAACTAGCACATCAAACAAAAAAAGAATTCAAATCATTTTCTAAATGCATATTTTCGTTTTGCTCTTTTTCTTTTTTGATGGAGGGGGGAGACGTACCGCTATTTATCGCATAAACAATTCTTTCATTACTATTAATGCATAAACAATTCATCAAAAGACTGATTCCGGTCCCCTAAAGTTAGAAAGCTGGTTAGACTACAATCTATGCCTATCGAAAGAGAAGTCACGAAAAGCAATCCATATGATCATTAAAGATAGGCTTGTATTATAATCTTCGCATAACCAGCATGTGAACCGAGCGATGCCTTAATGTACAACCATATTTGTTGTGTCCCCTACCTTGACTTGATTGTTAAACACCGTCAGCCATTTAAGTTTTCAGCACAGGGAGGAACCACAATGTTATAGAATAGAATTGGCAGGATCCTAGAACTTTACGTCCAAGGTATAAGCCACAGTAACACACAAGCAATTTATAGAAAGTTAGAAACTTCAAATGAAAAAGAATTGCCCTGACGGCATAGTTCTGTATTAAATTAAATTTGAAGGTGAAAATTTACAACCCAAAAAGCTAGAAGTAATATACTGTCTAGAACTTAAGCTACTAATACATTGTACTCCTAAGTGTCCTATCCTAGAAAAAAGAAACATGGCAGAAGCCACAGGAACTATCATTTACATCTTCTAAGCAAAGAATCTACAGAGACTCATCTAAAGTCTCATCCTCATTTGGGTGTAGCCGACTAAAATCCAACCTCTGCACAAGGTAACCAATAGCTATAAAAAATGGATCATATGAATCTTTGAAGGTATTCTCAAAATCATTGTTTAGTAAGGTCATCTTTTGTGTCAATACTATGGACCTAAGAACCAAAGCCTCAATTATGTATGCTGCTAAACCAGTTTCCAAATAAAAAATTTAAGACAGCCCAAGCTGGCTACATTAAAATGTCAGCTTACTGCAAAAAATGAGATGCTGATTAAATCTTGAAAAGGTACTCCAAGTCCTCCACAGTGAGACGAGTCTGTCGGCTACCAGTCTCATCCTCTCCGAATGCAGAAGCAACCATTTCTCTTTTCTTTTGCTGTGAAAATCGGTGATACCACATTAGAATTCTCAAATGTAGAGGAAGTCAGAAACCAGCAAAGATGCAGAAAAGGAAACCGCAAACTGGACTATGTTTGAACTACGACAAGTAATGAAACCCAGTGATAGCATATGCTGACATCCAAGTCCTTCAGCAGAAGATCATGACTATCCATGTTTATCATTATATTGATAGAAACACTTTAGGCGTGTTGCAAATTTACGATGAAGTACGAACAAAAAGCTTTAAAAAAAATACAAATAAAGTAATACCTGAAGAGCCAATATGCGATCTTCAACTGTATCTTTTACAGTCAACCGCAAAACTGAAACAGGACGGGTCTGTCCAATCCGATGCGCCCTGTCGATTGCTTGATCTTCAGTGGTAGGGTTCCACCAAAGGTCCAAGAGAAGAACATGACAAGCTGCAACCATGTTCAGTCCAAGGCTTGCAGCTTTCAGAGACATAATCATGACTGATACCTGCGTAAAGCTTCAATACTTAGTCCTGGGATTTTAAGAAGAAAAAAAATATTCAACACCAAAAAGATGGAAATGTTAAAACCTCGGGAAGTGTGTTAAAATCTTTCACAGCCTTATCTCTAGCAAGAACAGACATTGTTCCGTCAAGTCTACGGTACTGAATTGAGGAACTCTTCAGACAAGTTTCAAGCAAATCCAACATCCCCGTCCACTGAGAAAAGACAATTGCTTTCTCTCCAACGATTGTGGTTGTTGTATCTTTGGAACTTGTATTCATCCTAGATTCTCCTGCATGATTATCACATTTATTTTCTGACGGAGAAGTTCCTTCATCATCTGATCTTGAAATGCAGTCCCTCAGAGTGCAAGTCTTCGATTTAGACAGAGATTGCAGCATCTGAAGAGCAGCTTTAATCTTGGATGAGTCATATGGGCTACAAATTGAACTTTCAGCCACTTCAGAGCCAGCACAGTCAGGGTTCTTTTGCAGACTGGGCTGATCAGATAGAGAATCACTTAACATTGCTTTAGAGAAAACTGAAGAAACGCTCAGCTGAGTTTTGCAAGCTGATACAGGACACTTAGTGTCATCGCCGCTTAGATGTTCACAAATACACTGATTGCAAAAGACATGTCCACAAACTGTTACAACAGCATCTTCAGGGGGGTCCTACAAGATTGTTACCAAAATGCATAAGGAGGTAAGGAAGAAACAAGGAGATCCATAACAGAGAAATCCAAGACAAGAGAAATAAATACTGTAGTAAGAGATAGATCAAAATAGTAAAGTTGCAGACAACTAGAAAACTTTATAGGCTGAAATGATTACTTTAAAACTGGTATCACATATTAAAAGCAATTGTTGTTGCAACATTTCTCTGATAACCTGTAGTATGTAATCAACCAAATTGTAAGCACTATTTTCCAAATGTTATTTCTATTTTGCCTTGAACAGAGCAAATCACTTGAGCATTATCAAAGCAAGTTCAAGTTTGTAACTAGAAATGGCAATAAGTTATATTAGCTTAACAAAGGCAAGCACCACTATTGGTTGTATCTCACCATTAACCTCAAACATTGCAGATTCTTAATAGACGACCCAGAACAGGGAACAAAGATATTAAAAATGCTACAATCATAAGGATAAAAACCCATTACATATAATAATGATACTTTTGGTGTTGATGTTTGCAAATTGCATGGAAAAAAACCAAAAAGACCCCGAGTCCCAAAGGCGCACGGTTCGAAACTCGGAGGATGCCTCTCTACCCTCTCAACTTAAATACCAGCCCGTCTACTCTTCTCCACTTAAATGCAACAAAGCATCATCGATTTGAGTGTCTTCTACATGGAAGTTAAGTTGTAAAAATTCTAGTTGTGGATCAGCTTCAATGTTAAACTGAACCATGCATGCATTTAGCAGAGCATGAATGCTTGAACATGTAACATTCACAAATTTATCCTTAGGCTAATATAGAACCTGAAAGTAGTAGCTTAAAACCCCAATACTTTTGGTTCACTCTTCCTTCAAATTAGACGAGGAAGTATCATCAAAAAATAGAGAGTTGGTAAAAACATTTAAGTTCAATGGGGTTGTTTCTTTTCAGGGAAAAGCTGAGGCGGATAACAGTTGATCAGAGAGCAAAAAGCTAGAGGTGACAATTTAAAAAACCACCAAAAGTATAAAGTCGCCAAATAAGGAGCAGCAACAAAAAAAGGAGTAATAAGATTGACATAAACATATATTAAAGAAGAGTCAAGTGATAACATACACTGCAAATGCCACAAATTGCTAAAGAACCTTCCAAACAATTCAAAAGATCAGTTAGTTTCTCTCGCGGTAATTTCTTGGCCTCCTCAATAGATGATCTCCAAACAGAACCAGAGTTGGACCCTCCAACAAGAAGAGGGTGATCACAAGCTTGTCTCAGGCGTAAAAGCATCAGCAGTATGTTGACATAATTTTGTTTGACTGTCCCGGCAGCAGCATATTCCTGAATTGTCCATAAATTGATATGTTAAGAGAAGAGAAGAATTCAAAAGCCAAAGTTCTTGAAGACTGGGTATAAAATATCGTCTAAACATACAGCAAACTGAGCACGTGATTCAGCTTCAAGTCTGCAGTAGAAATCTCGTTCCTCGTCAGTAAAATCAACTTTTCTCAGTATAATTCGTTTCGGTGGAAGGTTGATAATGGGTTCTCCATCAATAAATGTACCTGATCAGAGTAAGACAGCGTTAATCCTCAATATAGAAATTTAAGAGTTGTGCACTTAAAGTGACAAGTCAGACATGCAAACAGTACAACAGTAAAAGTGGACAATGACCACCAGAAAACCAAGTTGAGTTTGTCATGTTCATTACTACGAGCATCTCATAGATACAAACAGCTGACTAGCACTTCATTTGAAAATCTAAGCACACATAGCCAAAACGAGTCGAACAAAGCTGCAAGTCTAAACATTAGTGCGTAACATGTTAAAGATAAGAACAATAATTGGGCTCAGATGAACCAAATAGACCATATGATCCTTCTCTTTTCGAAGAAGAAAAAGAGAAACTTTGAAATTATTTTAAAAAAATAAGCATAATTCCAAGAACGAATCTGCAACGCATAGG